TTTTCGTTATCTGATTGTGGGCACAAGGAATAAGGAAAAATATATAAAAATATTACTAGTAAGAGAAAAAAAATTTGACTGCAATTGCTTTCTTCCTGCGGTGCCAGAGGGCCTAAGAAAAACATTTATGGATCGTAAAATGTCGGTCATGGACAGTCAACATGCGAGTGTTTCTTACAGGAAAAACTTGAGTAGTGTGTGTTTCACATTCGGATATACATAGATATATATCTCATGAGAGAGCTGAGTTATTGAACTGCAGAAATTTATTCAGTGGCAAAGTATAATATACCCACGTGTAACTCTGGCATAGACTCCGGGCCCTTCAGGTCGAGCACAGCCATAACCCCACGACACAACTCCCACCAGCTTCCACTTGCCGTTTTCTTCCACCACCATTGGTCCACCGGAGTCTCCCTGTAATATTCACATATACTGTGTGAAATTTATCAAAAGGAATGTCATATATCAAAAAAGAAGTTGAAATTGTATCTTTCAAAGATAAGAATGATGAAGGAACACACCTGGCAGGAGTCCTTGCCTCCCTCAGGAATGCCTGCGCAGATCATGTTGTCAGTGATGCTTCCTCCGTACTTGGTATTGCATTCGGTGTTTGTCATGGTGGGCACTGTTACTTCGAACAAGGTGCCCGATGTGGATCCTCCTGTTAAATGCATTGTATGAGTCAACGTTGGAAGTTTTTTGTTATCATTCTAATATAAAACAAAACTTTAAAAGGCTTATCACGAATACCAGTACCCACCCTCCTGTTGAGCTCCCATCCTGTGATTGTGGCATCCACACTATCATACATTTCACCAGCAGTTGGAAGGCAGACAGGGGCGATTTTGTTGTCAGATGGGAACTGGATCTCTGTCTTGAGTCTGATGAGGGCAATGTCGTTGTCCAGTGTATTGGAATCATAGGACGGATGATTCACAATCTGTTACAAAGGTTATTACAATTGTTTAGTTGTTGATTTGAAAATATAGGTCGAAAAATAATGACAAATCGATTCAGTTTTTCCAATGTTCTATGAGGAAGTGAGGACATTAAACTTACTTCAGCAATCTGCATCCACTGAGAATTGGCTTCGCTTCCGGAGTACAGGTTGTGGTCTCCCACCAGCACATAATCCGAGGTGGTCATGCTGCAATAATAATAGGGAGTAGAGAAGAGAAGTGGATTTGAGACAATAAGAGGATTTTTTTTTTTTTTTTTTAGTTCAATAGGATCTACTTACCCTACTGCACAGTGAGCTGCAGTGACGACCCATTGGCTGGAGATGATAGAACCGCCACAGAAGTGATAGTATCCACTGCCGTCGACAAGAGAAACCATCCAGGGATATTCGTTCACCTCCGTCTCTACTCCACCAACAATGCGGTTGGCACGGTTGACTTGTCCACATCCAGCTGTGGGAATAAGAAGAAACTCGCAAAACCAGTTCATAGAAGGTAAGACAGCTTGTAAATGAATGGAGTGCTGGATACTTCATAGGTTGTGCATCCATCATCATTTCATTATTGTGTAACAGGTTTTCTGATAGCTCATCAACGCTGAAGCCTATGTAAATGTTTTGTTTGATCTTTTTAGTATTATGGTATTTTGTAGATTGCTACAGATTTTGTCATTTTTACTTACGGCAGTCAGAATTGGGATCAGAAGTAGGAGCAGGCGTCGGGGCATTTGTCGGAGCAGGTGCGCTCCCATCGACACAGACTCCGGTTGTTGTGTCAGAAATCCATTGCAAATATTCTGATGAAAAAGCAAGTATTCATTCAGAATATTACTAGTAAGGGAACAATTTTTTGACTGAGATTCCTTTCTTTCTGTGGTACCAGAGGGCCTCAGAGAAATATTTATGGATCACAAAATGTCGGTCATAGACAGTCAACATGCGAGTGTTTCTTACAGTCAAAACCTGTGGTACATTTTTCCTTCTAGGGAAAGCTTGAGGTGTGTTTCTCATTCGGATCTTTCTTATGTATATATAGATATATATCATAAGAGTTTTGAGTTGCTGAACTGCAGAAATTAATTCAGTAGTAAAGTATAATATACCCACGTGTAACTCTGGCATAGACTCCGGGCCTTTCAGGTCGAGCACAGCCATAACCCCACGACACAACTCCCACCAGCTTCCACTTGCCGTTTTCTTCCACCACCATTGGTCCACCAGAGTCTCCCTGTAATATTCACATATACAAATATATTGTGTGAAATATATCGAAGGGAATGTCATATATCAAAAAAGACAAGTTGAAATTGTATCCTCAAAAGCAAGAATGAAGAACATACCTGGCAGGAGTCCTTGCCTCCCTCAGGAATGCCTGCGCAGATCATGTTGTCAGTGATGCTTCCTCCGTACTTGGTATTGCATTCGGTGTTTGTCATGGTGGGCACTGTTACTTCGAACAAGGTGCCCGATGTGGATCCTCCTGTTAAATGCATTGTATGAGTCAATGTAGATTTTTTTTATAATTCTACGATAAAAAAACAAAACTTTAAAAGGTTTAACACGAATACCAGTACCCACCCTCCTGTTGAGCTCCCCATCCTGTGATTGTGGCATCCACACTATCATACATTTCACCAGCAGTTGGAAGGCAGACAGGGGCGATTTTGTTGTCAGATGGGAACTGGATCTCTGTCTTGAGTCTGATGAGGGCAATGTCGTTGTCCAGTGTGTTGGAATCATAGGACGGATGATTCACAATCTGTTACAAAGGTTATTACAATTGTTTAGTTGTCTGATCGTGAAAATATAGGTCGAGAAAAATAATGACAAATCGATTCAGTTTTCCAATTTCTATGAGGAAGTGAGGACATTAAACTTACTTCAGCAATCTGCATCCACTGAGAATTGGCTTCGCTTCCGGAGTACAGGTTGTGGTCTCCCACCAGCACATAATCCGAGGTGGTCATGCTGCAATAATAATAGGGAGTAGAGAAGTGCATTTGAGACAATAAGAGGATTTTTTTTCTTCTTTTTTTACTTCAATAGGTTCTACTTACCCTACTGCACAGTGAGCTGCAGTGACGACCCATTGGCTGGAGATGATAGAACCGCCACAGAAGTGATAGTATCCACTGCCGTCGACAAGAGAAACCATCCAGGGATATTCGTTCACCTCCGTCTCTACTCCACCAACAATGCGGTTGGCACGGTTGACTTGTCCACATCCAGCTGTGGGAATAAAGTAATTGTCTTTATCACAGAAAACTCGCAAAACCAGTTCATAGAGGGTAAGATAGCTTGAAAATGGAGCACTGTCCACCACCTATCAACTTCCTTATTGTCAAACAGGTTTTCTGTTCGTTTATCAATGCTGAAGACTATGTAAATGTTTTTTTTCTTTTTAATATTTTGGTACCTTGAAGATTACTACAGATTTTGTTATCTTTACTTACGGCAATCAGTGTTAGGATCAGAAGTAGGGGCAGGCGTGGGTGCAGTAGTAGGGGCAGGCGTCGGGGCAGTAGTAGGGGCAGTCGTCGGGGCATTTGTAGGAGCAGGTGTGTTCCCATCGACACAGACTCCGGTTGTTGAGTCAGAAATCCATTGCAAATATTCTGATGGAAAATAGTCATCATTATCTCATTTTACATACAAAGAATGATGAAAAGTATTAAATATTTGACAGAACACAGCTTCTAATATTTGCTTATATTATACTACATTCCCACCAGATTTTTTTTAATTACCGACTTTCAGCTTCACTCATAACGTAAGAGAAACATTGGTGGTATTGCAAGATATCAGTCATAGACAGCAAAAATGTTAAAATATCCCTTACAGGCCAAAGGTGAGTGGTACATTTCATCTTCCAAGAGACGCATTGTGTAAAAATCTCTTAGGATTGTTGTTTTTTTTTACTACAGGAACTGATTCAATGGCTAACCACAAATTACTCACGGGTAACTCTGGCGTAGACTCCGGGCCTTTCAGGTCGAGCACAGCCATAACCCCACGACACAACTCCCACCAGCTTCCACTTGCCGTTTTCTTCCACCACCATTGGTCCACCAGAGTCTCCCTGTAATATTCACATATACTGTGTGAAATATATCGAAAGAAATGTCATCTATCAAAAAAGACGTTGAAATTGTATCTTTAAAAGATAAGAATGACGAAGGAACACACCTGGCAGGAGTCCTTGCCTCCCTCAGGAATGCCTGCGCAGATCATGTTGTCAGTGATGCTTCCTCCGTACTTGGTATTGCATTCGGTGTTTGTCATGGTGGGCACTGTTACTTCGAACAAGGTGCCCGATGCGGATCCTCCTGTTAAATGCATTGTATGAGTCAATGTAGGAAGATTTTTGTTATTCTCTGATATAAAACAAAACTTTAAAAGGTTTAACACGAATACCAGTACCCACCCTCCTGTTGAGCTCCCCATCCTGTGATTGTGGCATCCACACTATCATACATTTCACCAGCAGTTGGAAGGCAGACAGGGCGATTTTGTTGTCAGATGGGAACTGGATCTCTGTCTTGAGTCTGATGAGGGCAATGTCGTTGTCCAGTGTGTTGGAATCATAGGACGGATGATTCACAATCTGTTGCAAAGGTTATTACAATTATTTAGTTGTCTGATTGTGAAAATATAGGTCGAGAAAAATAATGGCAAATCGATTCAGTTTTTCCAATGTTCTATGAGGAAGTGAGGACATTAAACTTACTTCAGCAATCTGCATCCACTGAGAATTGGCTTCGCTTCCGGAGTACAGGTTGTGGTCTCCCACCAGCACATAATCCGAGGTGGTCATGCTGCAATAATAATAGGGAATAGAGAAGTGGATTTGAGACAATAAGAGGATTTTTTTTTTTTTTTTTTTTCAATAGGATCTTACCCTACTGCACAGTGAGCTGCAGTGACGACCCATTGGCTGGAGATGATAGAACCGCCACAGAAGTGATAGTATCCACTGCCGTCGACAAGAGAAACCATCCAGGGATATTCGTTCACCTCCGTCTCTACTCCACCAACAATGCGGTTGGCACGGTTGACTTGTCCACATCCAGCTGTGGGAAATAAAGTAAAAGAAACTCGCAAAACCAGTTCATAGAGGTAAGATAGCTTGAAAATGGAGCACTTCCACCATCAACTTCCTTATTGTCAAACAGGTTTTCTGTTCGTTTATCAATGCTGAAGACTATGTAAATGTTTTTATTTGATCTTTTTAATATTTTGGTACCTTGAAGATTACTACAGATTTTGTTATCTTTACTTACGGCAATCAGTATTAGGATCAGAAGTAGGGGCAGGCGTGGGTGCAGCAAGTAGCGTCGGGGCAGTTAGGGGCAGTCGTCGGGCATTTGTAGGAGCAGGTGTGTTCCCATCGACACAGACTCCGGTTGTTGAGTCAGAAATCCATTGCAAATATTCTGATGGAAAATAGTCATTATCTCATTGTACGTACAAAAATGATGAAAAACGTATTAGAATATTACTGACAAGAACTCAGCTTCTAACATTCTCTTCATATATGGTATCCAGTCTAATTATAGAAAGTCTGACCAAATTTTCTGAATGCATTCATCAAGTGCATGTCTAAACTGCAACCCGAAAATAATCAAAGAATCCTCAACGCAGTGGTTACATTTTAGCTGAGCCCGTCATACATGGACACTGGAGCGGCATTGAGGTTGGCATGTTTCCTTGATCAAAAATATTAAGCAATCTTCACCAAACAGACTTTTGCTTATATTATACGACATCCCCACCAGATTTTTTTTTTTTTTTTTTATACCGACTTTCAGCTTCAATAACGTAAGAGAAACATTGGTGTATGCAAGATATCAGTCATAGACAGCAAAAATGTTTAAAATATCCCTTACAGGCCAAAGCTGAGTGGTACATTTCATCTTCCAGACGCATTAGTTGTAAAAAAGGATAGTTGTTTTTTTTCAGGAACTGATTCAATGGCTAACCACAAATTACTCACGTGTAACTCTGGCATAGACTCCGGGCCTATCAGGTCGAGCACAGCCATAACCCCACGACACAACTCCCACCAGCTTCCACTTGCCGTTTTCTTCCACCACCATTGGTCCACCAGAGTCTCCCTGTAATATTCACATATACTGTGTGAAATATATCGAAAGGAATGTCATCTATCAAAAAAGACAAGTTGAAATTGTATCTTTAAAAAAGAATGACGAAGGAACACACCTGGCAGGAGTCCTTGCCTCCCTCAGGAATGCCTGCGCAGATCATGTTGTCAGTGATGCTTCCTCCGTACTTGGTATTGCATTCGGTGTTGTCATGGTGGGCACTGTTACTTCGAACAAGGTGCCCTCCTGTTAAATGCATTGTATGAGTCAACGTAGGAAAGATTTTTGTTATCATTCTCTGATATAAAACAAAACTTTAAAAGGCTTATCACGAATATGAGTACCCACCCTCCTGTTGAGCTCCCCATCCTGTGATTGTGGCATCCACACTATCATACATTTCACCAGCAGTTGGAAGGCAGACAGGGGCGATTTTGTTGTCAGATGGGAACTGGATCTCTGTCTTGAGTCTGATGAGGGCAATGTCGTTGTCCAGTGTATTGGAATCATAGGACGGATGATTCTTAATCTGTTGGAAAGGATATGTATTGCAATTGTTTAGTTTGTTTTTGAAAATACTAGAAAATCAAGACAAATCGATTCAGTTTTTCCAATGTTCTATGAGGAAGTGAGGACATTAAACTTACTTCAGCAATCTGCATCCACTGAGAATTGGCTTCGCTTCCGGAGTACAGGTTGTGGTCTCCCACCAGCACATAATCCGAGGTGGTCATGCTGCAATAATAATAGGGAGTAGAGAAGTGCATTTGAGACAATAAGAGGATTTTTTTCTTCTTTTTTTAATTCAATAGGATCTACTTACCCTACTGCACAGTGAGCTGCAGTGACGACCCATTGGCTGGAGATGATAGAACCGCCACAGAAGTGATAGTATCCACTGCCGTCGACAAGAGAAACCATCCAGGGATATTCGTTCACCTCCGTCTCTACTCCACCAACAATGCGGTTGGCACGGTTGACTTGTCCACATCCAGCTGTGGGAATAAGAAGAAACTCGCAAAAACAGTTCATAGAAGGTAAGACAGCTTGAAAATGAATGGAGTACTGGATACTTCATAGGTTGTCCATCCATCATCATTTCATTATTGTGTAACAGGTTTTCTGATAGCTCATCAACGCCTATGTAAATGTTTTGTTTGATCTTTTTAGTATTATGGTATTTTGTAGATTATTACAGATTTTGTCATTTTTACTTACGGCAGTCAGAATTGGGATCAGAAGTAGGGGCAGGCGTCGGGGCATTTGTCGGAGCAGGTGCGCTCCCATCGACACAGACTCCGGTTGTTGTGTCAGAAATCCATTGCAAATATTCTGATGAAAAAGCAAGTATTATTCAGAATATGTAAGGGAACAATTTTTTTGAGATTCCTTTCTTCCTGTGGTACCAGAGGGCCTCAGAAAAACATTTATGGATCGCAAAATGTCGGTCATAGACAGTCAACATGCGAGTGTTTCTTACAGTCAAAACCTGTGGTACATTTTTCCTTCTAGGGAAAGCTTGAGGTGTGTTTCTCATTCGGATCTTTGATATGTATATATAGATATATATTATAAGAGATTTTGAGTTGAATGCAGAATTAATTCAGGGCAAAGTATAATATACCCACGTGTAACTCTGGCATAGACTCCGGGCCTTTCAGGTCGAGCACAGCCATAACCCCACGACACAACTCCCACCAGCTTCCACTTGCCGTTTTCTTCCACCACCATTGGTCCACCAGAGTCTCCCTGTAATATTCACATATACTGTGTGAAATATGTCATATTGTGTGAAATATATCGAAGGGAATGTCATATATCAAAAAAGACAAGTTAAAATTGTATCCTTAAAAGCAAGAATGAAGAACATACCTGGCAGGAGTCCTTGCCTCCCTCAGGAATGCCTGCGCAGATCATGTTGTCAGTGATGCTTCCTCCGTACTTGGTATTGCATTCGGTGTTTGTCATGGTGGGCACTGTTACTTCGAACAAGGTGCCCGATGTGGATCCTCCTGTTAAATGTATTGTATGAGCCAATGCAGACATTCTCTTTCCTAAAATATAAAACAAATGTTTTACAAAAACTATTATCAGTACCCACCCTCCTGTTGAGCTCCCCATCCTGTGATTGTGGCATCCACACTATCATACATTTCACCAGCAGTTGGAAGGCAGACAGGGGCGATTTTGTTGTCAGATGGGAACTGGATCTCTGTCTTGAGTCTGATGAGGGCAATGTCGTTGTCCAGTGTGTTGGAATCATAGGACGGATGATTCACAATCTGTTACAAAGGTTATTACAATTGTTTAGTTGTCTGATCGTGAAAATATAGGTCGAGAAAAATAATGACAAATCGATTCAGTTTTTCCAATATTCTATGAGGAAGTGAGGACATTAAACTTACTTCAGCAATCTGCATCCACTGAGAATTGGCTTCGCTTCCGGAGTACAGGTTGTGGTCTCCCACCAGCACATAATCCGAGGTGGTCATGCTGCAATAATAATAGGGAATAGAGAAGTGCATTTGAGACAATAAGAGGATTTTTTTTTCTTCTTTTTTTACTTCAATAGGATCTACTTACCCTACTGCACAGTGAGCTGCAGTGACGACCCATTGGCTGGAGATGATAGAACCGCCACAGAAGTGATAGTATCCACTGCCGTCGACAAGAGAAACCATCCAGGGATATTCGTTCACCTCCGTCTCTACTCCACCAACAATGCGGTTGGCACGGTTGACTTGTCCACATCCAGCTGTGGGAATAAAGTAATTGGAAAACTCGCAAAACCAGTTCATAGAAAGATAGCTTGAAAATGGAGCACTGTCCACCTATCAACTTCCTTATTGTCAAACAGGTTTTCTGTTTTTATCAATGCTGAAGACTCTTTTTAATATTATGGTACCTTGAAGATTACTACAGATTTTGTTATCTTTACTTACGGCAATCAGTATTAGGATCAGAAGTTGGGGCAGGCAGTGGGGCAGGCGTCGGGCAGTAGTAGGGGCAGTCGTCGGGGCATTTGTAGGAGCAGGTGTGTTCCCATCGACACAGACTCCGGTTGTTGAGTCAGAAATCCATTGCAAATATTCTGATGGAAAATAGTCATCATTATCTCATTGTACGTACAAAGAATGATGAAAAACGTATTAGAATATTACTGACAAGAACTCAGCTTCTAACATTCTCTTCATATATGGTATCCAGTCTAATTACCAATTATTATAAATGCAAGTGCATAATAACTGCAACCGAAACATAATCAAAGAATCCTCAACGCAGTGGTTACATTTTAGCTGAGCCCGTCATACATGGACACTGGAGCGGCATTGAGGTTGGCATGTTTCCTTGATCAAAAATATTAAGCAATCTTCACCAAACAGACTTTTGCTTATATTATACGACATCCCCACCAGATTTTTTTTTTTTTTTTTTTTGACTTTCAGCTTCACTCATAACGTAAGAGAAACATTGGTGGTATTGCAAGATATCAGTCATAGACAGCAAAAATGTTAAAATATCCCTTACAGGCCAAAGCTGAGTGGTACATTTCATCTTCCAGAGATGCATTAGTGTATAAAAATCGTAAGATAGTTGTTTTTTTACTACAGGAACTGATTCAATGGCTAACCACAAATTACTCACGTGTAACTCTGGCGTAGACTCCGGGCCTTTCAGGTCGAGCACAGCCATAACCCCACGACACAACTCCCACCAGCTTCCACTTGCCGTTTTCTTCCACCACCATTGGTCCACCAGAGTCTCCCTGTAATATTCACATATACTGTGTGAAATATATCGAAAGGAATGTCATCTATCAAAAAAGAAGTTGAAATTGTATCTTTAAAAGCAAGAATGAAGAACACACCTGGCAGGAGTCCTTGCCTCCCTCAGGAATGCCTGCGCAGATCATGTTGTCAGTGATGCTCCTCCGTAC